TATATACCTACGCTGCACTGTATTCCTCCGTAAGTAAACACAGTGCAAGACGAATGAATATTAAATACAGGTACAATACGAATAAGAATGACTACACCGTTATTCATTCTAAAATATTTTGAAATATGAAAAGGTCATGGTAGGTTATGTGAATGAAACATGTGTTATGAATACACCGGAAACAATATGCTCTGTATGATTTTGAACGCGGCATAGGCCTAGAGATTGAGTTACAGCCTTTCTGATACGATGCCAAATTCAGCCTGATTACTGAGGTATTCAGTTTTTTACCACGACTCTGATGAGGTGTAGGCCTACAATCACTTGAATTGTAACTGTGTGTGTGTTTTTTTTGTTTTTTTGGGGGGTTTTTTTTTATTAATGATATCAGGGAACAGTTAAAAGCCTTACATGGTGTGTTTGCATTTGGTGGGTCTTTACCTATTAACTTATAAGCAATTTTAATTATTAAGTCAGTTTCTTGGCTTGTTTAAGGGCTGGCAGACCATGTACGTATACCTACATGGGCAAATCTACCAGGCAATAAAGGTATAGTTAATGGGGTACTAACAATAAGGACCAATCCAGCTTTTTGTGAATGGGTACGGACGAATTGTTAGAATGAGGTGGAATTTACAGGCGTCCGTAACCCAACAATGATTGTTTATCTAGATTCCCGGAAAAAGTATGAAATGATGATTCTGATGATGATAATGATGATGATGATAAAAATGAAGATGACGAAAACGGTGACATGGTGACGATGACGATGATAGTGATGAATATTGTGCAGGGAGAAAAGCACTGGCAAAAATCAGCAGTAAATGTGTTACATTAGAGAAAAGATAAAGGACAGTTTGGCTGACAAACGACGTTGGTTTTAATGTACATTGGACACTGATTAGGCCTATGGGATACTGCATATGTCTAATCAGTACTGATACATAATTGGGTCCAATCTTCTTGGTTTTATGGACCTCAGATGACGATAACTGTTTGCGTGACAAAAATTTACGACGGCTGGCATAGGATCGACTATGTTTAATATTATTTATAACTGTCTTGAATTATACTATAATATACAATAGCATATGTAGGGCTTAATACTAATATCCCTAATATAACATAAGGTTAATTTATGAAATATTTTATATGAAGTGTTTTATATTATTTTATAATAGGTTGAGCAAAGAACTGTCCAATCAGGAGCTCCGTTGGATATGGTAGATGCCGCATCACTTCTCTACAGATTGGAAATGGAAGGTGGGTTGGTTTTTAATATATAATATTATATAATATTACCATGTAAGAGAAAGATTCATAATGCGGTTGGTGCACTCTATGTTAGATGATCCAAAGAAATATTGTGTTCCTTGTCCTATTCCATAACGTTGCTCTCCTGTCAATAGGTTATAGCACCAATGTGTACTTTTAAAGAATATGGGGTGGGGAGGGGGACCAAGGAATATTATGTCAATGCGCAAACCACTTCACTATTTAATGGGAGGGCGGCTACAATGTCATGTCACATCATGAGGGGGTAAAAAAGTGGTATGAACACGGATATTACAGATGATATTAATAATGAAAATATTAAAAATGCTAATAATGATGAAGTTAATATTAGTTATGTACATATAATATAACAATCAATTCATTGAGGTAAAATCCAATAATAAAATTAACTGAATAATACCATTTCTCAGGAGTATCTGTCGGGAAGGCACGTTGGCAGAAGTTGTTTGATATAGTTGGACCACATATAAATGACCACACCCTGGTTTTTAACGACATTCATTATCTAATGGCTGCCCTGGGAACTCAGCAAGATGACATTGTTACCAGTTACAAGGAGTCCATTATGGATTTTATCAAGTAATCTTCACATTTGTTTGTACACTTGCTATTTTTTTTTGGGGGGGGGGCTTCTATTGGTACAAATTAATTGTATCTAATATTTCGGGTATACAGGTAATACGTTTAAAGCATCACAGAACACATTCAAACGGTCAAATTTGATTAGTTCCTTTCTCCTCTTTAACCTTAATCAGACCTTCTCCCTGAACCCGCTAACTGACAGCAAAACTATCCAGATATTTCGTAGATCGGATTTATAAATATTCATGTTAAAACTACCTCTCTCTGGTTTGCCTCTATTACTGAATGTACGATTTTAAGACATCCTGTATTAATCACATTTTGTTTCTGGATATGCTTTAAAACAAATCAAAATGAATTGAAGTGATGTACGATACTGGTTGTTCTTTAATTTTAGAGTAAAGAAAGGTGATCAAAGAAACATAATGAATGATGTTGGTGTTGCGATGTTCGAAGCATTTCAAGCGTACAACAACGGAGAGTTTGCTAAGGCTGTTGAGAAGATGATCCCCATAAGGTATCAGGTTATCAGGATAGGAGGAAGCCATGCCCAGGTATGTTGAGAAGACTCGCAATGTGACATCATGCGAGGGTAAAGATCTGGTCTTTCCATCATTTAGTTAGTCTTTGATCATGGGTGTCGATCGGTGAGAGACAGAGGGGACATGTCCCCCTCCATACTCAGTTGTTGGGGGTTTTGGTGCATATTATCAATTGTCAACCAACCCCCCTCCCCCGCACTTTTCACAATATTCTGTAGTTTGAAAGCGAAAGAAAAGAACAACAATTTCAAGACCAAAATCAGGTAAAATACGCAATTTTTTGTAAATTCTGTACCTCAGTAACCACTTCATAGATTTTATGGGTGCGAAGAGCTATCAGAGGCTCAATTCATTGTGAACACTAATGTATACATGGCTTTATTTTTATTTTTTTTTGGAAGGGTGTAAACTAACATTTTTACAAACTCAAAAGTGCACGATTTCAATTTCTGTGGCTATAAACTATTTATGACTTTTTGGTATATTATTAAGACTCGTATATAATTTTAATATAGTATCTGAATAGATTCATGTTCTTTTTTAAATTGCGAATAAACTTTCATTAGCCAAACCTAAATATATGAAAATTCTGATTAGTCAATTGAATTGTATATAGCCGTTATTAAACAATATAGGTCTCACCCGACGACACAGATACTTTAGGTGTATGTCTATTTCGACAGCAATTTACGAACTCCGATTTCTGAAATAAAAATTAGGATGTTTTATATGTTCTTCCTGTATCCCTATTCTCAGTTTGATCATAAATTAGAGTAAATCGACACTTTATATGATGCATATTTCA